TGGTGTCTGCACCGTGCGCAGGACCTAGTGCATTACCTGCAAATAGAAGTCTCTGGCTTTTTACAGGCAGCCACAGCATTTGGGCTGTTAAATGCAACAATGTCACTGCAAGTTGAAAAACTGTACTCTGATATTGAGTGGGAACACTTTTCACAAACAACTCTGTTTCTTCTCTGCTCTCTTCTTTTTGAACACAGACAAGGGCTGGTGACAGACAAGATGCCATTGCATGTGCTGATAGAGCGTTACCTCCCTCTGGAGTACAGGAAGCTCCTGATTCCAGTTGCTGTGAGTGGAAATAAAGTGATTCCCTGCAAATGAACGTGCCTCTCCGGCAGTGATGGCCTCTGCGGGTGGGAAGATGGCCTGCTCACAGAGGGTGGCTGTAGGTTGTTCCGTGTAGCTGCTCCATGTGATGGTTTTCCACCAGTAACCAGTGGGGCGATAAATGGTTGATGTTCCCTTGAACTGATGCAGGTTGTGCTATGGCTGTAACACCAGCCTGCTGGATCTCAGCAACTCTTATTGCAAGTAGTTTGACTATCCTGAATTTTTTTGTTTCCTCTGAATACCTGTACAGCTCTGATAAATAAAATACTATATGTATTCTGCATGATACAAATGCTGCTTATTCCAGTGAGCTGAAAGGCAGCTGCATTTGTGTTGTTCAAAATGTTCCTAATGGACATTTAGCTGTATTGATGCTCTTCGTACTACCTAGTTGTTTACTCGAAGGAGAGAAGTTGTGTACTACCTTCCAAAAAGCAGATCTTTGTTACAGCTGGGTATTTTTCTAAAGCAGGGACTTTCAAGCTTGGGTTTTGTCCCCCTTTGCAAGTCTAGTCTACTGTGTCAAGGGTAGATTGCAATCTGTCTGTGACCACAGCTGTTTGCTGATGTAAAATGAAATGGGAAAATACACCTTATGCTTACTTATATATAAACTAAGTCTCACAGGGAATTAGCAAGCAATAATTTAAGACCATTTGAGAGGTGAAATTTTCTGGTGCACATGTGGTAGGTAGACCGGGAGAGATCAAATCAGATGGAGTTAATTGTGTATATTGGGTTTATATGGCAAAGTTTTGGTAGCAGGATGGGGGGAAGGCTGCAGGAGTGGCCTTTGGCTCCTGTGTTGGACAGAGCCAGTTCCAGCTAGTTCCAAAATGGACCCACCACTGGCCAAAACTGAGCCCATCAGCGACGCCAGTGATGCCTCTGCAATAATGTGTTTAAGAAAGCGTAAAAACACTGCACAGCAGCTGTGGGAGGGATGAGTAAGGAGAAAAATGTGAGAGACACAACCATGGAGACGCCGAGGTGAGTGAAGGAGGCGCTGAGCTGGAGCAGAGACTCCCCTACAGCCCATGGAGAAGACAGTGGGGAAGCAGGATGTCCCACTGCAGCCCATGGAGGACCATGGTGGAGCAGATACCCACCTGCAGCCCTGTTTTGACTGAGACAGTGATTGGTGAGCAATCTTGACCCCTGAGCTGCTTAATCTTATTTCCTCCCCTGTTCCATTGAGGAGGGCGAGTGGGAGAGCAGCTGGGTGGATGACTGGCAGCCAGCTATGGTTAAACTACCCCACTGCAGGTAGTGTAACCACACAGCGGAAGGCTGCACTTCCAGAGCTGTTTCCTGCCAGCCCTGGTGTCGTCCCCTGACTGTCTGTGCACAGAAATGTGGCTGGAAAGTTGCTGCTCCCGCCTGTCAGGGTCACCAAAGAGGCAGGAGGTGCCAGAACCTGCTCTGTGAATCAGGGTCCAGCTTCGTGAGCTGCAGCTTGCTCTGCAGAGGTCAGTCCACTACTGTTCGTTTTGCTTGCTGGCATCCCACGTCGTGATCCAAAGCTGCAAGATCCAAGCAGCGACTCTGTAAGTAACAAACACAAATAAATCCTCTGTGTTCGACACACCCAACGTGGTTTCTGCTGCTGCACTCGCAGTGTGAGCCACGGTGCCACTTAGCTTTCCACTCGCGATTTCGTACAGGCAATTGCCGCACAGCGTAGCGGGTCTGCGCTGCACTCTGTGGTGTTCCTCTGGAAGGGAGAGAATCAAAGAAAAATTCTTGTGTGTGATTTTACTGCTTACAGTGAATCTAAACCACACCAGGAATGCGGTCAGCCACAGCAGGGGATTTCAGGTGCAAAGGACTGTGACTTTGTAAAAGAATTCACAAGCTGGAGAAGAATGACGCCTGTCACACATACATGTTTCAGAGGGAGGGATATGGATATCAAACTTTTCTTGTGTGTTTGTCATCAGTGTGCTCTTCAGTGTCTTCCCAGGCGGGTCAGTCTGGCAGACCAGTGTGGTTTCAGTTTATTTAGCTAGTCTGTAATTCCCAAGTTAAGATGTGGTTCTTATTTAATATCTGAGAAAAATTAACAGATTTTATTTTTTCCCTCCTAATTCTTAGCATCTCTGTCTCGAACCTGAAAACCTTGAGCCTTTAAATTGATTAGTTTGGCTTAGACTTGAGTCTTTAATTAATTTCTGGAAGTCTGTGAAGAAGGGATGGCTCAAAGCTGCTGCTTTGCAGTCTCCAACAGGACAGAGCAGGGCTGAGCATGGTCAGCACATCCAGGCGGGGAAAGTCAAAGCTCAGCACAAACATCATCTTACTCGTGGCTCTTCCCGTGCTCCTAGGGTGGGTCAGTCTGCGCAGGCTCCGATGGCACCAGTGCAGCCAGGCTGGTCACACAGGATACCTGCCACCCTCCAGTTGTTTCTCCCCATCCTAAGCCTGTCCTAAATCCCACTGCATGTATGGATCCTTGTCTTTGGATTAAGCTGCGTGTGCAATGTAGTTTCCTAAAACTACAGCCAAACAGCGCAGTTAATAAGGACTCCTGGAAATCCAACCCAGCTCTTGGCAGCAACACTTGCAAGTTAAACAGGTTTTGCACAATGCTAAAGGAAATGCCGAGCAATACAGTTGAAATCTCTCTAGCAGGCAATACCAATACAAAGGTCAGGCATTTTTCAAGTTGTTGTTTTTGTTTTGTTTTGTTTTTTTAAAAAAACATAATTCCATTAATACAACAAAGGGGATTTTTTTCCAATATTCAAAAGGAAACAGCTTTGTTGTTGGAACAAACGCATTGCAAAGCTTGTACTTTTAAAAATAAGTTTTCTGCCATTGTGGGACTTTTCAAGTGCATTCTCAAGGCTTTACATGCCAAAGTTTGAAAATTTTCATCTGAAGTAGTAATGAAGTTTCCAACTCCTTTTCTCTCTGTTGCTAAAACACAGTGAGAACCCTCTTTTCCTGAGAGAACCTCCCAGGAAGCTGCTGGTTCCTCTTTCCTTCCGTTGTGTGGCCTCATCCTGCAGCCACACTGCCACACATCAGCAACCAACCTCCTTGGCTGCCATGTTCCTAACCTGAACGGCCTCCAGCTGAAGGCAGGAGAAGATGGGGCTTCAATGATTGGGAATGTTGTGAGAGGGCGAGGTAAGATTCCCCATCTGGTCTTTCTCTTCTGTTGAGTCGTGTTCAGTGTCTAGTTGCAGTGAAGTCAGGGTTAAGTAAATTCAAGACTTTTAGGGACACATTTTTCATGTCTTAACAATGTAACTGAAAGGGAAAGTGAAAGAAAGACCTTGCACTGTGAACACCTGTTGACTTTTGGGGATCTAAAGTCCTCAGGATGAAGCAAAATGAGTGATTCCTGCTCTCTGTAGCCCACTGCTTTCTTGAAAAGCTTTGCAAATTTGATGTTCATCTACCAAACCCTTTCCTGGTGTTTAAGTTCCCTGTCCCTTTTAGACAGACTGAGTTTTGCCATATTACAACCCCTCATTTCAGAACACTCCTAGAGATACTTGCAGTTAGGACATTTGGGTTTTAGCTAGACGATGCATCTTCCTTTTCATTCCTCTTACAGTTCCTTTCCTGGTAATTTGTGATTTGTGTTGGAAGAGCCCAGCACCAAGTTCAGCATTCGAGGTGAAATCCCAGGGGCATCGTACCTCTGGGTGGTACTTAATCTGTCACGCAGGCTGTGACACCTTTCCAGTTTACAAATGCAATCGGTCTTTGCAGATGCTTACAAAAATAGTGGGGTTTTTAGGAAGACAACTTCTGATTTCAGCCTTCCTCTTTCTGCTTTTCAAACTATGCTGTTAGGAAAAGAACGAGCTTTGCTTCTCAGGTTTACTCCACTTACTCGGCAATTGAGTCACAACCATAGCAGAAGTGTTTTTATGCCCTGGATAGGGCTATATGCTGGATAGAGAGGACAGTAATGAATAGGAAAGATTAATGGATGCTAGTGGCTGGAAAAGCATTTGATGTCTTCCTTGGAGCAAGGGACAGATTTCAGTGTTTCTGTGCTTGGATTAATTTTTACATCTCAAAGTTTGGTTAAACCCACTCATGGGGCAGCACTTGAATTTCTTTCAAAGTGACTTAATACTGGACAGCAGCAGCTGCACCAGGATAAAAGTCTTGGGGACAGATGTGATAGCAAACCTGGCATGGGCTGAACTTGCCTTTCACGAGCACACTGACTGTGCTGATGGCACTTTATTTTGCAAACGTATCTTTGAAACCTTGCCTCTCTGAGCCAAGGAACTCAAAGGCTAAAGCAGCCATGTTGCAGCCTCGAGTTTGATGGTGGCTTCTCAGGTTCTAATAATGGCTGTTGGAGCATAGCTGGCTTGTCACCAAGCAGAGAGCCCAACACCCTGTGGTGCCCCGGTGCCGGGGGGGGTGAAGCCTTGGTTTTTGGGGATCAGGCAACCTCCCCCTGCAAGTATCACTGAGCTGAAATGACTCTGCAGAGGCTGCAGAATTGTACGGGAGTGCTTTGCTGCTTAAGCTGAAAGTGCTTCTGATAGTTCCAGCTAGCCTACCCTCTCTGCTATTAGTTACTAGGTGTATCTCTGTGCGCAAGAGAAGAAGTATTTGGTGCAGTAACTCTGACTCCCAGCTTGGTATCAAAACCTGTAGATCAAACAGTCAGTTTATTCTTAATACTGGAAGTCTCCTTACTCTCCTTCAAAGCCTGTCATGTTGCCCTCCCTGGGTGAGGGCCTGACTCGTCTCACGTCTCCAGCCCGCAGTCTCTCAAGTGCGGTTTCCACAAGCACAACTTCTTGGTCTGGCTGTTCTCTTTGCACTTGACAAGCCAGGCCAATGTAAGTATCTAGTGTCTGATCATCAATGTCGGGATCGATCGTGCAGAAGGCCGTCTTCAGATCATCTGCCTTCACCTCTCTGTTCAAAAACAACTCAGTCACTGGTATGCTGTGGTATGTGAAAGGAATATTTACTTATTTGTGCTACAGTGAGAATTCACATTGCGTGAAATGCAGAGCAGAGATGTCTTTTGATATTGGTATCTCTGCCTCTCCTAGTATCCCTTTGGTTTTTAAATACACATGTAATAGAGACTGCTAGGTACCAAATTTCAAACTGAACAGAAGTTAGGAAATGATACATTTGTGATAACTTGGGAAGACCTTAATTTCACTCTATTGTGCATTGTGATATCCTTTGTCACAGAACTGTATTTTTCCTTTCTAATTCAGTGCCCATGTTGGACGTACTTAACTTCACGGGCATGCGCCCACCTTGGGTGTTCTCAGTGCATGGCACCAGGCTCTTTTTCTACGCAGTAAGAGGTGGAATTATTTCTTGGATTTGGACCTTTAGATCTGCAGTTGTCAGTCATGTTTGCTCTTCCCGCTCCTGAGAACCAATCTCTGAGGATGTACAGGATTTTGCTGCTATTTTTGGATAGCTAAGGAGTGTTGAGACATGAGACTTCAGGTACTGTAGGGGGATTGTCGGTACAACCAATCTTCTCTACTCACTGTCTGCCTTATCCAAGTCCTTTGGGTCAGGAGCTGACACTGTTCAGTGTTTCGTAGAGCAGGGCTCAGCCAGGTTTTGGTATTTATCATGATATTCACAGCTGGGGCCTCCTGCACTGCCGAGGTGTCTGCGGCAGGGTTCCCTCCGCACGTGCTGCCCTGATCTACTGCCCCCATCAGCCCCCTCCCTCTGGACTTACGTTAAATCTCCCAGCTTGTTCCTCAGCTGTCTCTGCTCCCTGACATACTGGCTCCTGAGCTTTGCAACGAAAGGTGCGGTGCTCCCTTCCTCATCCTGAAAGAAATTACAGGTGTGTTAGCACTGCCCACATGTTCCAGTCTGGATAGGAGCTGCCCCCCCAAGTGAATTAAAATAACTCTGCTCTCCTAGAAATGGAATTTCCATGTGAAATAAAGAGAAAGAGTATGGAAAAACTCCTATCACAGAAAAGGCACAAGCTTGCGTTGCTGTTGCGTGCAGATGGACTTCAGGTGTTAGAGCTTGTGGTGGGCACTGCAACTTTGTTAGTCTGATAAACCTAGTTAGTCTGATAAAACTAATCCCTAAATTAGGCTTAATCGGAGTCAAAGGGAAAACTTAAGTAACATCAGCTTACTTCTTTGAATAAGGATATGTAGTCGATGAGGTCTTTGGTGCTGTCCAGCTTGTACCTGCTTGCATCAAAGAGTTCTTGGATTGAGTTTTTCCTTTTCAGCGGAAAAGCTTCCCTCACAGCCATGCTGTATGGAGGCGGGCAACAGGGACAGAAGTGTGTGTGCGCTGTACGAGCACTTAACGACTGCCAGCGTGGCTGGCTGGTTTTTAGGCTACCAGTGCATGCATGTATTCTGTGGGCCAGGTCCTCAAAAATTCATTGCTTTCACAGGAAACACATTTGAAGAAGCACATGCAGCTTCAGACACTGAAACAAGGGCAAAGCTTTCAGCAGAGCTTAGGGCTCGGGCGAACATTGGATGCTGAGCCACGTGGGAAGCTCTGAACACAGACGTACCGGTTAGCTGGTAGCCCAGACTGAATTGGTTAGCGCGTTTGTACCAGAGCCGTGTTCCCAGCTACGTGCTGGAAATGGCTGCTGCTTCAAAATGCTGTGTTTAGAGTTTCACTTCAGAAGGTGCAGCTGGCTGATGAACTGGGATAAGATGGACAAGCCTTGCACCTGTAGTGAAAGTCACAGAAATGCTTTCTGACCCATCGTGGGAGCACTGTGTGGGGTCCCGCGTCCCCTCAGGGAGCAGGGGCTGCCAGCTTGTCCCGCTACACGTGTGAAGCACCCCACGTCCTCTCTCAGGCCTCTTCAGCCGCACTACTCGAAACTTGCAGTACTCACGTTATTCTAAACCTAATGCCGAAGTCAATGAGTATAGAGTAGCTAGAGCTGTCTGCACAGGAATTTAAAAGAGAGAAAAGCCTCCTCCCCTGGCAGCGCTGGCAGATAAGCAAAACAGCAACAGTCGGCCTCTTGCCTGGACTGCTTGCTGCTCTGGGATCCGCTGTTTGAGCTGTCGCAGGCAACCAGCTCCTTTTGCAAGTTGGAAATCAGCCGATTCTGGCCATGGTACTGTTCTTCAGCCACCAGTGAAACGGGGAAGGTTCACAGGTCAGTAACTGCCCCATCTGTTCCTTGGACTACTTTCAAGAGGGAAACAAAACTGCAAAGGGACTGTGCTTGCTTCTAAAGCAACTTCTAGACAAGCAGCTTTTAGCGATTTACAAATTATTAAGCAAGCAACACAGTGGCTTGCAGGGTGGCTGTTCACAGTGGCTTCTTGTTGAACAACTTGGTTAAGCTGTTAAACCCTCAGGTGCAGATGGACGTCCTGGATCCCCCAGAATGACGGCAGGCTCCCTGCCCGGATAGTGATGCTTGGTCCCAGCTGCTCTTCCATTTCCAAGCAAGACATAAGTGGGGCAAGAGTAAGAGGACCTGGGGGGCTGCGTGTCTTTGTGTTACAGGAGATGGGAAGATGTGGCCGCGTAGCTGAAGCTCTCCAGCTCTGACACGGTGCTGGGGGCCAGGGAGCAAGGCTGCTAGGGCCTGCACGGCATGGCAATTCAGAGATTGTGTCCTGATCGTCACAAGCACTGCGTGGGGACAGAGTGTGAGCTCTTTCAGGAACGACCTCCTGAGAGAAAGAGATGTGTACGTAAGTCTTGCAAACAGAAGCCTCTGATCGGAGAGAGCAGATTCAATGTGACTAAAGCGTTGGAAAGAAATGGGGTCTTCTAGAAGCTCTGTTGGGAGCAGTAAGAGCCTGCCGTGTCTTGCATGGAGAGGATTCCCTTCTCCTGTGTGTGTCAGTGTTTACTCTTATTATCGTGGGAGGGAGCAGCTTCCTGGGGGAGGAATGGGAGACGAAGGTGCTTCGCAGAGGAACGCTTCCCTTGCCTGCTGCCTGTCACATCAGGGATGTCTGGGCAGAGGTGCGGCATTGGGTTGCGGGTTGCCTGCCTTCCCGGTGAGTACGTCGAAAATGAGCTCAGGATGTGGTTCAATTGACGGAGGCACATGTTCTCATAGAGGGTGTAAAACCATTCCATGGCAGCAGCATCTCCATACTTCTGGAGGTAGCTGAGAAAGAACTGGGGAAGACTGGATTGCTTTCCCATCTGCGGATAACAAGTGAGTAACTCCTGTAAGCAGCAGAACTAAATCAAGTCTGCCCATTTGAATCTAGCTGTTTGTGTATAGATGTCTGTCTTTTGGGGATCTCGCACAGTGCTAATGCATGCTAGCGCTGGCTGGAGTCTTCCTCGTTATTAGATCATTCAAAATGTTTCTCCCAGGTTTGTTCTCTAAATGCGGGTAAATTTACAATGAAGCTCTTCTGTTGCCGAGACTGCTGATAAAGTCTGTCTTCTCCTTCCTATTTTTGTGAAATATGTGGAAACTTGCTACCTATGAGGCGCTACCCCTCTGTCAGATTTAGCTGAGCTTGGCTCATGGGTTGAGAAATGGAAGCAGTTATTGGGGAAAACTAGAGCCAGACAGTGATTGCAGCAACGCTATTTCCCCAGGAAACCAAGCTGAAAGTAAAGACAGCTGCCATAGAAAACATTAAGCCATTTAGAGCTGATCTCAGAGATGTTTCTAGGCTTCTAGCTCAAGAGAAGAAATCTGTACAGTAACTCTGCCTCTCTCAAGGTTGCTCTCATATGACTAAGGGACAGTAACAGGGCTTGTCCAGTATATGGGGAGATGGTATCAGACTTGTCCCTAACGTGGGAAGAATTAAGCAGCCACTTTCAGTCCCTTTTTGAGCCTTGTATGGCCCCAGACAGGCAACCCGTGATGTCTGCCTTGGCAGAGAACACACACCTCACCCCTTTGGCCACCAGTTGTCACTCCTAACCCACCCTGGACGAAGAAGGGGAAATTCCAAAACCAAAGCACTTTTATATTAATTCATTTATCAATATAAATTATTTTTGCCCCTGCTTCTCACTTTTCCTGCAGTGACACCTGTTCCTCTCTTGCATGGGCACAAACATTATGGAGCTTAATAAAAGATTGGCATGGGTTAAGACCAACCCAGCAACAAAAACCCTGGCTTTGCGTTGGCTGCGCAGATGTTGCGAAGGTTTTGAGTACCTAAGAAGAGATGCTGCGTAGCCACGAGGGTATGCCGGTCTACGTAGCACCCCAGAACAACCGCAGTCGATTTAGCTAAGGTCTCAGACTCATGAGTGTGGCTGCTTTAGCTCAGGGTAACTGCAGTGGTTCCTCCTCTGCTCCCCCTGCCTTGTGAAGGCTTCTTCACTGACAGCTCAACTGCTCTTGCTACAGCTGCTGGACCATGGCACTTTACAGCCCTGGACGTCAAAGCAACCCGTGCCGACTTCTGGTTTCCTGAGTGCCTCTGGATTTGCAGTGGTGGCTGGGCATCAGCTGCTTCAGGAGCACTCAGCTGTCCCGGGAACAGGAGCTGCAGAAGGCGGCACAGGCTTGCTGCCAGCTGCGACCGTTTGTTCTTACAATGTTTTATGCAGTTCGATCCAGATGAAGCACTAGGCAGGACGTGGGTGAGACCGTGGCTTACCAAACTGGACTGACTGTTACAGCAAATGCTGTTTGTGGAGAAGGAAAATGGGACAAACCTGCTGTTCTAAGGCAATTTTCTCCTTCCAGACATCCTTTAGGATGTTCACCACATCCTTCTCGGTCAGCTTTTTGTTCTTGACTTCACCTTTGTGCCTCAGGTACACAGGAACCTTGTCATCTTTGCCTTAAGTGATGGAAAAGAAACACAGATACAGGTAAGGCATTCACCTCGCTGGCAGCAATGCAGCACCAAAGCCATGCCGTCAGCATCTAAAGCCATTGAAATGAGTCGTTTGGGTGGGTCTCACTCCCAGTACTATAAAACACATCTGTCGGCACCTCTGTGGTGTGCCTCAACTGCTCCAGGGTGGACCTGCTGAAGTTGGGCCTGCACTAGCCACATTGCCCATTCCGCACAGTTACGCCACTTAAGACTTAGCTCCTGAGTGATTTTAGTTGATGCCCTCCCTGTTGTGTCCAGGCAGCTGTGAGTACACCCGATCACTAGTGTAATGTATTTGCAGTCAATAAGTTGTTTATTACAGAAGAGGGATGCTAAAGCCCTCTGTGTTGTACTGGAAACTCTGTGGTCAGCTTGGGGCTTTCGGCCGGGACTACAGCTGCAGAGGAGGAGGCTGTGGGACCTTCTCTCAGCGGCAAGGAGCTGACAGACCTTGTCCTTGGACAAAACGGGACCGTGTGAGAGGTTCTACCCAGCAAGAATAGAAGAGGTAAGATCTTCCTCGGAAATATCTTCTGGGAATGGCAGGGCAAACAGCTCAAGCTTCTGGAAAGGTTGAGGAAGGGATGTTGAAGGACCAAAGAAATGCTGGGCTGTCCCTGAGAAAACCTTTGGATACAGTTCCACTTGGTACGATGTGAAGAATCCTTGTAACATTCCCTTGTCCCCGTATCATTTCCTGATTCCTCCACGTGCTGGGGTGCAGTGCAACAGGACAGCGTGAGTTGAATTAACTTTCTGATGCCATAAAAAGGAGGCATTCCCTACTATGTGGTCTTGCTACTACTTACTCTTAGTCATTCTAGTGCTTTGTCTGAGTTCATCTCAGCAACAGAGAACTAACCTGGGAAAAAAATGAATACTACTCTGCTGGATACTTGCCTGTTGCTGCAGCCAGTACAGGGGAGTAGGGACAGGGGAGAAGGACAAGGGTTTTCAGCAGCAGGAAGATGTTCATTTGTCTCGGCCATATAGTGCAGCATTAGTAAGGGGCTCTAGCCCTCTGGTAACACCTGCATCTCTGATTCTCCTGGCATCATTGTGAAGCGTGCCTACTTCAGCTGTGTCTTCAGTATGCTCACTCTCAGTTTCGGCTTTTCTATTGCACCTGAATTTTCCTAGCTTTAAAGTTCTTGGTGGTTACAGTGATTGGAAGGTGAATATTGAAGATGCCAGCTGTGAAGGCATCTGTCCCACCTTCCTAATGGATATTTATTACCAATTAATCTCGGTGGCAACAAGTAGAAAAGAAAGCTTGCACATACCCATCCGGGGAAGACATTAATCTGTCTTAGCGCTCCTGTTCCTATTTCTTCCAGAAGCACATCCACTAGCTGGTCGCTGGTCTTCCCCTCAGCCAGGCGGCCCCACCAGGAATCACCTCTGCAACAGCAAAAAGACGCCGAGCTGCTGGAAGAGGAGAACAGGCCCGCACGCACTGGCTTTGTGTGAATCCCACAAGGGGCCTTGCGATAGATACGGATCTCTAGACATCCAGTGTGTCTCCTGAGATGTCTGAGGCAAAATGCAATACCTTGCAAGCTCCTCTCTCTCAGGCCACTCCTAAAAGCCTAGGAGAAAACGGTGCGTTGCAGATAAGAAATGCACCATGGCAAAGTGTTTAAAGATGAGCCACCTTAAAGCAAACCGCTACTGGACACGTTTGGCACCTGAACACTTTGCCCAGTTTGGCCGGGGCGTGCAGTTGTGCTGGACTCGCTGGAGTTGAGCGCAGAAGTTGTCTCGCTCTTCTGCAGTCTCTCTGTGGATTTCCAGCAGTGTTTCGTATTGCTTCCAGAGCTGATCAAAATCCTTCTGCAGAGTCTTCATCTAAAGGATGCAGAAAGGAGGGTTGTGACAGACTAACCAGAGTAACAGACATTTTCTGTTGTTGGGGACCAGCTCAGGTGAGCAGTCCGTGTAGTCTATACGGAGAGCTGTTCCTGGCTGATTGCTGCTAGATCAGAAGAAAAAGAAATCATTTGTTAAATTCTATTGTTACCATTTACAGAAATTTCTGACAAAACAGGTCAATGACCCTTTTAAACCTGTTTTTATGTTTAAAAATAGGTCTTAATTGACTAGGAGAGAGCAGGAGAAACACAGGCTTCTGCTGTAGAGATTTTTACATGCATCCCCTTCAGATCCGCTACGCTTTATTTAGAAAGTGTTTCTCTTTTATCTGATTTATCTTTGCTCTACTAGAACAAAGGCACATTGTGATTCAGAGGTAACCACAGCTGTAGTCTGAGTTTTGAGGGCTGTGCCTGTTTGTTATGCCATGACATAGGGACATGAGCAGTGGATCAAGCTGTGCTGACAGCCAGGGCTGGAACGGAGCCGCCAATGGCCCAGATGTACCTTGAACAGCCCGGCACTGGTTTTTCTGAGCACAAAGGTAGTACTTTTTTGCCTTAATGGAGATTTTCATCCATCCCTCTTGATGGCCGTGCACTAACTATGTGGTGGGATCCAATGGGTTCTCTTTTTCATCCTCCTAGAGGTCAAGGCCACTCTGCCACGGCAGGACCCCATCCTAGCCACCAGTGTGTGTTGTCCCTTTGCTGACCTGCGTGTGTCATGGCATTGCTCCCATTTTTCTCCAGTGCAAGCTAAGCAGTCCAACATTTATTTCTAAAAGGCAGCAAACAAATACACCGTGAGGAACCTAGTCCAGTTCTTTCACCACTGGAAAATGCTTTCATCAGCCCCGTAGCTGGGTCGATGACTTTGGAGTTCCAGTAGGCTAAAGGAGCCATTTAATACCACTGGAAAAGGCAAAACCCCAGCCAGGCAGATAAGCGTTAGGAGGCCAGCAGTCGTTTCAGTTAGCTGTGGTTTGGACAGAGCTGTGCAATGTATGCGAGGTGAACCTAGGTCATTTATTTATATACGTGATGACTTCAGACACTAGTTCCCAAGCTGTAATCTGTGGGCCGTTACTGCTTTTATGGTGTTAACTCAGTTAAACCTGATGTTAAGGGTTTGTGATGGTATACAGATTTTGAGTGCTCAGGCAGTCTGTGACTTCGATAGATAGGGAGCTTTGGGGATCAGAAGACAGTGGCTTTTCATGTATTTTATGAACAAAGAAATGCCTTTATGTAAGCTTTAGGTTTACTGAGTCCCTATCCCAGCCTGAATACTGAAACATCGTGTTACGTTTGTATTTATGTGGTATAGCTTGAAAATTTGGAGCTTATGCTCACCTCCTGAAGTAAATCGGAGTATTTTTTCTCCAGTGATTCAAAATCTCTTCTGGGCACAACATCTCCGTAGTCTGCTATCATTGTGTTCAGCTTCAGCTGGGCTTTTGTGAGGTCCTGCCGGGCTACCTTTAATGCCAAAGTTAACTTCACCACATCTTCACCCTTGACATCTTTAAACAACAGCCACTGATGAAAGCCCAAGACAGTAAAATTGCAGTCGTAGTTTTCTAAATCTTCTCTTAAGCGTTTAGACCATGTAATCCTACAAAGTGTCAGCAAGAGCTGAATGGGCGTAGGCTGTATTACTATTAAAGAACTGCAAGTCCAGGAGTATATTGCAGTGTTGACATTGCCCTCCTCTCCCGTGCCCACAGATATGCAAAGGCTCAGGCTTGGCTTTGATTCCCAGAAAGGATCGCAGGGGGGCGAGCCCTTACGCAGCTGCAATGGCGACAGCCGGCGAGTAAGAAGCAGTAGCACCGTGGGTGCCTGTAACCCAACTGTGGATCAACAGAGGTTGTGTGCTGAAAGGGTACCTACCACCACGAGTAACCTCTGCGCCAGGTATTTGTGACACCTGAATTGTGGACAGGCACGAAACTGCCATCTGTGGCTGGGTAGGATGTGCTGATAGTTGGCACTGGAGTTAGAAAAATGTATTGGGCAGCTCCTGCCTTCAGTTTACCTGTTGTGCTAGGTACGAGCGTACAAGAAAACAAGCAATGACTTACTGAATCAGATCAGACTGGTAGGTACATCCCCGCCTATTCCCTTTCCTACCTGTCTATGCATCTTTTGTCCATGAATTTGTCTAACTTCTTTCAAGAACCAAAGCACATCTGAAGATGTTTCAGAGAGACTCTGAATTTTTCCTGCAATGCTGCACCCATGTGTGCGCGTTTGGGTCTCCATGCAGGACAAGTTCTCACAGGGATCCACTCTCTCTACCTTGGACTTGGCGATGTGCCGTGTCCAGCCGTTCGTTAGGCATATCGTTCAGTTTTGCTAGAAGCAGTTTGCAGGCACTGCACTCGTTGAGATAGCGAGCATAGCCCTCAGCCACGCTTGTCCACAGATGCTCTACCTGCAGGAAACAGAGGCTTGAACTGATCAGGAACGTGGCATCGGTGGGAACTCTTGGACTGGTTTGGTGGATCTAGAGCAGAAACTACGGAGCAGAGTGGGATAAGGGAAGCAAAATGGGAAAAACTGGCACAGGAGAGCCGGCAAGAGGTAACACTGTAGAAAAGGATGGATTGGATGGAAATCTGAAAGAGTTCAAACTCAGACATAGTGTGCAAAAGGGGGCTCCATCTGAGTGTTTAGCCTTCTAGGGAGTGAATTACATACATTTCATCAACTGAGTTACACCATTTCTCTCTTGTAAGCCATATCCAGAAAACCTTGCAGCAACTTACTCTGTCCCTGTTGCTGGTCACACAGAAGAAAACCAGCTGCTACTCTTACCAGTTTACCCCACTGGAACTGGTGACAGAAATATATCTTGGAGGGCAACATGGGACTGTTTTCCTGCTGTATTTTTAATTTTTTGCTGTAATTTTTAATTATAATTGCATTTTAAATTAGCGGCGAAGTCAAACTATCAGAAATCTGGAAGTCTAAGAATGGAGGTTATGTGTAAAACCATAGCTTATTCCCATGACGTGCATTTCATTACCCACTCGCCTCCCGTCACTGCCACCACCTGCCTAATCTCTGACATAGGGAATGAATCGAGATGGTGTTTGACTTCTTGCTCAGAAGACAACTAGTGCCTCGGGGAGCTCTGACTCCTGTTAGTCTCAAAAATACAAGCCCTCTGTAACAAAGCTGTTTTGCCTGGGTCCCTACACCGTCGTAGCCACAACCACGCTGCCACCAGCAGGTAAGTCAGCAGCTTGGATGGATCTTTCCAAGGAATTTTTGAATATCGAACCATGCTACAGTTAGAGTATTTGAATGCTGTCTCAAAAATGGAATTCTGGTTTTAGCAGAATTATTTTGCCCAACTTCCTTCACCCAAATTCCGAGCTTAAATAGCCCAAACTAGAATTTGGATTTGGGGCTCTATTCTTAGGTAAGGCGGGTATAACTTTGCTTTGCTCCTTTCAGAGAAGGTTCTCTGCAGCTCTGTGGTGCACGGAGGCCTGTGAATACCAACAAGAGGAACTGGCTAGTTCTAGGACTGCAAATGGAAGAAATATTTCTGAGCATTTTGGTCTAGCTAGTGAAGCCAAAGCCTCTCAGGTTCACCAAGTGCTAGCTAGATGAATGAGGAGCCTACGTAGTCTGTTCTGAAGCTTACCACTTAAACTTAGTACTTAAACTAGCGGATGAACGCAAATTCGGGTAGGGTTCCTCCCACTGTCATCGCGCCTCTGACTACAGCAGAATTGCTGTGTGACAAGGACAATTTGTTTCTTCCTCCTGCTCATTTTTCACCAGGAGGACGGTACAGCCCTGGCACAGGCTGCCCAGGCAGGTGGGTGTTCACCATCCTGGGAGGATCTCAAAACTCAAGCCACACAAGCTCCTGGCTGATCTGATGTTAAGCAGGCCATAGTTCTGCTCCAGACGGGAGGCTGAGCTGGAGACTCCAGATGTTCCTTCCAACCAGCACTTCTTTAATACTTCCTGAATTAGCTACAGTAGCTGTCAGGGCCCCAAGAACCTTAATTGTCCTGATCAGCCTCAGCTGGACCCTCCGTCCACACACTGTCTGCCCACAACCAAGGAGCTTTGTTTAAGCCCAGACGGAGGCTTTTGGTCTTTGTTGAGCTACGTTGTAGGTGTATCTGCCTCCAGCCCTGTCTCTGGATCCTAACTGCGCCTTGGACTGATGTTGTAGGTAGCCTTTCTCCTGGATGGACCCCTGTTGCAGTTTTGTCTCCTGTCCTGACTCTGGTCCTATCTCCTGCTACTCCCGGGTCCTTGCTTCCTCCCCACCACCACAGATGGACGCTGGGCCTAACGGCTTCATCTGGAAGGGCTGGGGATGACTGCTACCAGCGCCTTGCCTGTGCCCTGCCTGGTGGGCTCTGACTGCCCTGCAGTCACCCTCGGCTCCCGGCTCGCCCTTCCCCGTGCAGCAGGTCTGCTCTTCTCGCTCCAACAGGAGTGTCATTTCAACCCGAGTAGCTGAAACTGCTCAAGACCTGTATAAAGGTAATTTAAATGGGAAAGACTTAACTAATCTTGCCTATAGACATCAGTGCGACTGCACTGGCAGCAAGACGAATGATACGGATTTAAAGATGCTAAGGGTACAATGTTGTAAAGAGTGCATGTACTTTTACAGAAGAACTGAAAACATGAGTACCAGGAAGATATTTATTCCCCCCCGCCTTCAAATGTGACACTGGAAGAGCCAGATGGGACAACAGGTACAAGTGAAGACTTCTGACAGTGCCAGCGCAGCCTGTCCCAAGGGAACGGGATATTCTCTGGAATTGGCCAAGATCCATCATCACTACCGTGCCAGATGTTTAGTGCCTGCTCCAGAACTTCTGCTGGCACCAAAGGATGAGAGGCTGGGAGGTAAGGGATCAGATGTATAGAATGCATCCAACTGCAGTTGGGAAACATTTGACTCGTTGTTGTCTAATTTACCTGAGTCTGAAGAGAATTCTTCGCTTCCTTCATGTTGTCAATTAACTTTAATAAATGTTGTTTCTCTTGCTTTAATGTATTTATTTCATCTTTCTCTTTTTCCTGCAGTGCCAGTATCTGCCGGATGCACTTCTCGGAGACAGTTGTGACCAGAGCCTTCAGGGGCTCGAGGGCACGGATTGTCGTCGTCTTCTGAGCTGAGGAGAGCAGAGGTGGGGTCTCACAACGAGCAGCGCTTACAGCGGGTGGGAGATGCTCGCTGTTAACCCCGGCCCTTCC